GCCTCCTCTCACCGGTCAGCGGGATATGGGAAGGTTCATTGTGAGAGGTGGCGTCCACCATGAGGTCTGAAGGCCCAGTACGTTCTCTGGGGAGAACTGACTCGGGGAGGAGCCTTCCAGAGGAGGAAAAGGACAGGGAGTGGCTTTGAGGCCAGAGGGAACATGAATTGAAGTAGGATTTTTCTCCTGGATTGAGCATAGGAAGGGTGGAGGGGCGAGTGGTGGGGCTGGAGGAGTCTGCCAGGGCCACATTGTGACTGAGTGTGTCCGTGAAGGGCTTTGTCCTAAGGATACTGGGAGCCAGGGGAGGTCCTCAGCAAGGGAGAGGGAGCCTTGGGAAGACCTGTGGGGAGGGTTTGAGGCGGGGGTGGGGGGAATGAGGAGGGAGCAGATGAGGCATCCTGGTGGCTGTGGGCTTAGGATGGGGAGAAATGAACAGCTTTTCAAAGGTTTGACATTGAAACTGGCTCTCAAAAGAACTGGTGGCCAGAAAGAAGCTCACTACAGACTGATGCATATGCCTTCCAGCATAACCATTATGGCTTGTCTCATTTTCGGTTCTTTTTTTTTTAATTAAATATTTTTTTATTTTATTGATATTTTACAGAGAGGAAGGGAGAGAGATAGAGAGCTAGAAATGTCGATGAGAGAGAAACATTGACCAGCTGCCTCTTGCACACCCCCTACCGGGGATATGCCCACAACCAATGTACATGCCCTTGACCGGAATCAAACCTGGGACCTTTCAGTCCACAGACCGACGCTCTACCACTGAGCCAAACTGGTTTTGGCTCGTTTTCGGTTCTTATAAGTATTTTTCCAGTAGGACATGATCTCACTCATCGAGGGGAAATGGTGAACAACATAGACTGATGAACAAGAACAGACCCAGAGACAAGGAGCCATGGGTCAGACTGTTGGACCTCAAAGGGAGGGTGAGGATAAAAGGGAGAGATCAACCAAAGGACTTGTGTGCACACGTATGAGCCTAACCAGTGGTCAAGGAAAATAAGGGAGTGGGGGCATAAGTGGGGTGGGGGATTAAATGGGGGGTTGAGGACAAATATGTGATACCTTAATCAATAAAAATTAATTTAAAAAAAGGATATTTAGCCAGGGGCAGGGGCAGAATTTTTCTCCTTTCCTGAAATGTTCCAACTAGGAAATATTTTTTAAAATGTGTTTTTATTGATTTAAGAGAGGAAGAGAGAGAGAGAGATAGAAACATCAATAATGAGATAGAATCACTGATCGGCTGCCTCCTACACACCCCACCGGGATCGAGCCTGCAACCCGGGCATGTGCTCTTGACTGGGAATCGAACCTGTGACCATTCAGTCTGAAGGCCGACGCTCTGTCCACTGAGTGAACCAGACAGGGCCCAACCAGAAACTCTTTGCATCCTTCTTTCCCAGTCATTTACATTCATGCAAACAGGACAAGACAAGACTCAAACTCTTTGTTTGCATGAGAAGTCCAGCAGCCTTCTCATCTCTTTCCTGCATGGATGTTGGGAAGACGGCCACGTGCTCCTTACAGAGAAAATCCACAAGTATCTCTACCTTGGAGAACACACACACGGAAAACTGAATATTGTAGCAGAGCCTCGCGCTGTTAAGTAAGAAATCCCACCAGAATTATAACCATTTTTTGAACTCCGGGACTGTGTTCACAAGACACAGAAGAGACAACGAAAGCACAAGAGGTTAAGAGCAGTGTGTCAGGTCCAGGCCCTGATTCTCCTGGCCCAGCCCCCAGGGGTCGCTGTCTGTGGGGCCCACTGCTGGCATTGCCATAGGGATCCTGCTTGTCAGCGACCTGTCCCCAGGCTGGGCTGTGTCCTCTCCATCAGAAATTCCAGAGGACCCGGTATCACCACCATTTGTCCACCATCCAGAACTGAAATATCATGGCTGGCATGTTTGACATTGAAATCGGGTCTCAAAAGAACTGCTGGCCCAGAAAGAAACTCACCAGACTGATTCCTTTGCCTCTCAGCATAACCATTATTTCTTGTCTCGTTTTCAGTTCTTATAATATCACATGAGCTCACGCATCTAGGGGAAATGATGAACAACATAAACTGATGAATAAGAACAGCATTGCCGAAAGCGGTTTGGCTCAGTGGATAGAGCGTCGGCCTGCGGACTGAAAGGTCCCAGGTTCGATTCCGGTCAAGGGCATGTACCTTCGATGTGGGCACATCTCCGGTGGGGGGTGTGCAGGAGGCAGCTGATCGATGTTTCTCTTTTGATGTTTCTAACTCTCTATCCCTCTCTTTCTTCCTCTCTGTAAAAAATCAATAAAGTATATTAAAAAAAAAAAAGAACAGCATCAATCAGACTGTCGGATCTCAGATGGAAGATAGGAGAGGGTGGGGATAAAGGAGAGAGATCAACTGAAGGACTTGTGTGCATGCATATGAGCCTAACCAGTGGTGGGGGCATGCAACAGGGGGGTGGGGGCATGCATGGGGAGGGGTTTGGTATGGGAATGGGGGGGTGATGACAAATATGTGATACCTTAATCAATAAAGTAATTTTTTCAAAAGAGAAATTCCAGATAGTAAAGCTAGGAAGGAGTTTGGGGTGTGGTGTTCCCCGGCCTGCCTAGCAGGAGTGTTGCTGACCATGGTGCTGAGCGGTGTCCCGGGCTCCTGTGGAATTCAGAGAGTGGGGCGTTGCCTGAGAATGGATGCGGGATACGGGCAGAGCCTGTGGAGATGGGAAGGACGAGGTGCACAGAAGAATGAGGGCCTTGGGGTTTCAGGTCCTCAGGGAAGATAGCAGAGGGCCCCACCCATGAGGTCATCACACCTTCCTCTGAGGAGGAGCACCCTGCTCTGCCCAGTTCCGGTAAGTGACTGTAACATGACCAGAGCAGCGGCGAGGGGCAACCAGCTTGTCTCTGAGGGGAGAAGAAGAAGAAGAAGAAGAAGAAGAAGAAGAAGAAGAAGAAGAAGAAGAAGAAGAAGAAGAAGAAGAAGAAGAAGAAGAAGAGGAGGAGGAGGAGGAGGAGGAGGAGGAGGAGGAGGAGGAGGAGGAGGAGGAGGAGGAGGAGGAGGAGCCAGCCAGGAAACAAATGGCTCAGGCAGAAATCCACATAGGGTTCTGATTGGAGGGGAGTCATGAGAAAGGGCGGGGATACAATGACATCAAGAGAAGGAGGCATTTCTGTTGGTGCAGATAAGGGGACAGAGCAGTGTTAATGCTAAAAAAATGTTTCAGCCGAAACCGGTTTGGCTCAGTGGATAGAGCCTCGGCCTGTGGACTGAGGGGGTCCCAGGTTCGATTCCGGTCAAGGGCATGTGCCTTGGTTGCGGGCACATCCCCAGTAGGAGATGTGCAGGAGTCAGCTAGCTGATCGGTGTCTCTCTCTCATCAATGTTTCTAACTCTCTATCCCTCTCCTTTCCTCTCTGTAAAAAAAAAAATCAATAAAATATATTTTTTTTAAAATAAAAATATGTTTCAGGTGGTCAGCCGCGAAGTCACCAATCAGTCCAGCAGCTGGAGGTATCGCACTGCCTCCTTGTTATTTTGCAAACCGTGCTGTGGGCACAGTGCGGCCTTCGTCCCAGCCCAGAGGTCACCTGGCCCCGATTTAGCATTCCAGAGGTTTGGGGGGTCAAGTGTTGAAGGCACTTCCTCTGCGATGGCAGCTCTGGCTGCTCTGTATGTGTTGTTTATAAGTTGAATTTATTGGGGTGACCTTGGTTAATAAAATCATGAAAGTTTCAGGGGTACAGTTCTATCACACCTCATCTGTATGTTGTATTGTGTGTCCACCACCCCAAGTCAAGTCTCCTTCCATCACCCCCTCCCCCTCTTCTACCTCCCTTGCCCTCATTTCACTCTGGTAATCATCATATTGTTGTCCATCTATGAGGGTATTTTTTAAAAATATGTTTTTATTGACTTTTTAAAAAATATTTTTATTGATTTTTTTATAGAGAGGAAGATAGAGGGATAGAGAGTTAGAAAGATCGATGAGAGAGAGACATCGATCAGCTGTCTCCAGCACACCCCCACTGGGGATGTGCCTGCAACCAAGGTACATGCCCTTGACCAGAATTGAACCTGGGACCCTTCAGTACACAGGCCAACGCTCTATCCACTAAGTCAAACTGGTTTTGCCTTTATTGTCTTTTTACAGAGAGGAAGAGAGAGGGACAGAGAATTAGAAACATCGATGAGAGAGAAACATCGATCAGCTGCCTCCTGCACACCCCCACCGGGGATGTGCCCGCAACTAACATACATGCCCTTGACCGGAATCAAACCTGGGACCTTTCAGTCTGCAGGACAATGCTCTATCCACTGAGCCAAACCAGTTTCGGCCACAACTGTTGTTTTTTGCTTAATCCTTTCACCTTTTGCCGCCAGCTCCACTCCATTCTCCCCTTTGACAGCTGTTTGTCTGTCCTCTGTATCTATGAATCTACTTCTATTTTGTTTTGTTTGTTGCTATCGCTACATTTTAAGGTGTCTCTATTTTTAAAAATATTTTTTATTGATTTTTTACAGAGAGGAAGAGAGAGGGATAGAGAATTAGAAACATTGATGAGAGAGAAACATCCAGCTGCCTCCTGCACACTCCCTACTGGGTAGGTGCCCTTGATCAGTATCGAACACGGGATTCTTGAGTCTGCAGGCTGATGTTCTATCCACTGAGCCAAACCAGTTAGGGCAACTAAACATTTTTAATTCACCCACATTTCTACTGTGAGCTTGTTGTTGAATTCCTGGTTCTCTCCCAAGAATTCAAACTCAGATTACCCAACAGTGTTCTCTGAATGACTTCACAGTTGCTCAATATCATCAACCGTGTGGTCATCTATCAGCCACAATACCTGCTTCTCTCTATCAGCAGGCAACTCCCCAACGCACTGGAGAGGTTAATGATTGCTCTGGCTTTACTATAAAAGGTGATCTCGCCACAGCTGCCTCTCACCGTGGCTGCGGCTGGGACTCTAACACTGGGTACAGAGAGCTCCCGGTGATGTCAGACGGGTATGTGTGGTTTGAAGGCATACCGTTCCCGCTGGTGGACTACACACCTGAACACCTGAGAGCAATGCAGAACTTTGTGTTTAAGGATGAAGATGTCTTAACAGTGTCTTTCCCCAAATCAGGTAAGGACACCGGACCAGATACGGAGGCTGGCTGGGCCCAGTCCCTCAGCCATTCACTAAGTGCATGGAGAGTTTTCTCTTTGCCAGTCAAGGCACAAGGCTTTGGGGGCACATAGCTGGGCCCTGATACCAGCGATATCCAGAGAAGAGGAGGCTGCCAGGCAGTTACACAGGAGGACGAGTGTTTGGAGGGGGTAATGGGACGTCTTAGGGGAACTAATAGGAACAAATCCTGAAGCAGATTCAGGTGCTTATAAGGAGAAGTGAAGGTGATGAACAGTAACGCCCTCACAGAAAAAATAGAAGGAAAAGTGCCCTGGCTGGTGCTACTCAATGGTGAGAGCATCAGCTCAAGCACTGAAGGGTCTCAGCTTTGATTCCTGGTCAAGGGCATGTATCTTGGTTGCAGGTTTGATACTGGTTCCAGTTGGAGCAAGTGCTGGAGGCAATTCTCTCACATCAATGACTCTCTCTCTCTCTCTCTCTCTCTCTCTCTCTCTCTCTCTCTCTCTCTCTCTCTTTCTCTCTCTCTCTCTCTCCCTCTAAACCTATCCTCAAGTGAGAATTTAAAAATAAAAAGAATACCCTGGTCAGTGTGGCTCAGTTGGATGAACATTGTTCCATGCACCAAGAGGTCTCTAGTTGGAGTCCCAGTCAGCACACATGCCCGGGTTGCAGACTCGATCCCCAATGCAGGAGGCAGCTGATTGATCTTTCCCTCTCATTGATGTTTCTCTCTCTCTCCCAAATCAAGAAAAAAAATATTTTAAAAAGGAAAAGAAAAAAAGCCTGGCAAATTCAAGGGAATGAAAGGATATGAACTGTATTTCTAAGGGACAGCATATTGGGCAAGGACTGAGGCTGAAGATGTTGGAAAAGGCATGGTTGTGAAAAGTCAAGGGCAATGGGAACATGTTCAAAGAATTTAGGCAAATGCCCATTGGCAGATGAGTGGATAACCAAAGTGTGGTATATACATAAAACGGAATGTTATTCAGCCTAAAAAGGAATGAAGTTCTGACACACGATGTATCACGGATGAACTGTGAGGACATCGTGCGAAGTGAAATAAGCCGGTCGCAGAAGGAGAAATACTGTACAACCCACTTCCATGAGCTGTGTAGAGTAATCAAGCTCTAAAAGGGAAAGTAGGGTGGAGGTTGCCAGGGACTGGAGGGGGTGGGGTGGGGGAATGGAGAGCTGTTGTTTAATGGGGACAGAGTTTCAGTTTTGCCAGATGAGAAAGTTCTGGAGATGGGTTGCATAACAGCGTAACTAGGCTTAACACTAGTGAACTGTGCACTCAAACATGGTCAGCCCTGGCTGGATGGCTCAGTTGGTTTGAGCATCGTCCCCATACACTATGGTTGCAGGTTCGATCCCCGGTCAGGGCACATGCAAGCATCAGCCAATGAATGCGTAAAAAAGTAGAACACTAAATAAATGTTTTCTTTCTTTCTTTCTTTCTTTCTTTCTTTCTTTCTTTCTTTCTTTCTTTCTTTCTTTCTTTCTTTCTTTCTTTCTTTCTTTCTTTCTTTCTTTCTTTCTTTCTTTCCTTTCTTTCTTTCTTTCCTTTCTTTCTTTCTTTCTTTCTTTCTTTCTTTCTTTCTTTCTTTCTTTCTTTCTTTCTTTCTTTCTTTCTTTCTTTCTTTCTTTCTTTCTTTCTTCCTCCTCCTCCTCCTCCTCCTCCTCCTCCTCCTTCTCCTCCTCCTCCTCCTCCTCCTCTTCCTCCTCCTCCTCTTCCTCCTCCTCTTCCTCTTCCTCCTCATTCCCTTTCTCCTCCTCCTCCTCCTCCTCCTCCTCCTCCTCCTCCTCTTCCTCTTCTTCCTTCTCCTTCTTCTTCTCTCTAAATTCATTCAATAAATAAAAAAAAATTTAAAACAGAGAGTAGTTAAGAGGGTGCAGTTTATGTTGCATTTTATCACACTGTTTTTAAAAGACAGATTATAAGAATGAGTGACCACCCTTTTTTTTTTTCTTTTTTATCCAGGAACGAACTGGTTGATTGAAATCCTCTGCCTGATCTACTCCAAGGGGGATCCCACGTGGGTCCAATCTGTGCCCATCTGGGAACGCTCTCCCTGGGTGGAGAACACGCGTGGGTACCAAATCCTAAAGGATAAGGAAGGCCCACGCCTCATCACCTCCCACGTCCCCATCCACCTCTTCCCCAAGTCTATCTTCAAGTCCAAGACCAAGGTCAGTGCACGATGGTCGAGATGTGTTTGACGACTGCTTTCCTAACGTCACCCGGAGACCTGGCTGAGCTGCCATGCCACCCAGTAGGTCTGGGGTGGGGCCGAGAGTGCACATTTGGGCAAGGCCACGGCCCAGACTTGAGCTAGATGCAAAGCGAAATGGTGATGCCAGGATCTCAGAAAACCACGTTTATTATTTTATTTTATTTTATTTTATTTTATTGATTTTGTACAGAGAGGAAGGGAGAGAGCTAGAAAGCTAGAAACATCGATGAGAGAGAGTCATCGATCAGCTGCCTCTTGCACACCCCCTACTGGGGATATGCCCTCAACCAAGGTACATGCCCTTGACCGGAATCGAACCCGGGTCCCTTCAGTCCCCAAGCCAACGCTCTATCCATTGAGCCAAACCGGTCTCGGCAGAAAACCACGTTTTAAACCCACATCTCACTCACCTATGGGACAGGGTCCATCACCTTTGGAACACAAGGCTTCTAATTTATAACTGTTACATACTAGGAGACTCCCCTTTTGTTGCTCTAAAAAATAATTAGCCGACCTTAATTAAATAAATGCCTCCTGCCACTTCGGTAGAAGCAGCAGACACCGCGTTGGCCATGAAGGAAGCAGGAAATTCATAATTCGAGGCTGAGTCCCGGGTGATTGCTCAGGCATCACGACTGACTGTTTCACTAACCGCTGTCTATTGGGCCTCATGATTGCTGTGTCTTCCTATGTCTAGCTGTCTATTGGGCTTAGCCGTCACACGGATCTCTCATGGGCTAACGGATGATCAGCAGAAGGGATGTGGAAATCCAGGACCTAGCATATCTCAGTTGGCTTTTAGAAACACCCCTTCCTGGAAGGTGCTCACTGGTTTGTGATTTTAAAATATGTTTTATGCTTAAATTAGACTTGGAAGCTTAGAATAATGTTCTCTCCTCTTGCAGAGTTCACAATGTGTGAGAGCACCATGAAGCTTTTCTAATAAAAAATTTTTATTTTTCAATTGCAGCTGCTAGTCAATAGTTTCAGGTGCACAGCATGGTGGTTAGACATTTGTATAACTTATGAAGTGATGCCCACTAAGTCTAGTACTCACCTGGCACCAAGCATATTTCTACAATATTTCGACTATATATTCCCTTTGCTGTGATTTCTTCACATCCTCAAAGAAATCTAAAACACTAATTTGAAAAGACATATGTATCCCCGTGTTCATTGCAGCATTATTTACAATAACCGAGACATGGAAGCAACCCACGTGACCTTCAATAGGCAATTGGATAAAGGAAATGAAGTGGTTTAAAAAAAACAAAAACAAAAAAACTTCTCAAGCTTGTTTATGACACACTGGTTATAAATAGTGTTAAGCCGAAACCAGTTTGGCTCAGTGGATAGAGCGTCAGTCTGTGGAATGAAGGGTCCCAGGTTCAATTCCGGTCAAGGGCATGTACATTGGTTGTGGGCACATCCCCAGTAGGGGGTGTGCAGGAGGCAGCTGGTTGATATTTCTCTCTCATCGACGTTTCTAGCTCTCTATCCCTCTCCCTTCCTCTCTGTAAGAAAAATCAATAAAATATAGCCGAAACCGGTTTGGCTCAGTGGAAGAGCGTCGGTCTGGAGACTGAGAGGTCCCGGGTTCGATTCCGGTCAAGGGCATGTACCTTGGTTGTGGGCACATCCCCAGTAGTGGGTGTGCAAGGGGCAGCTGATCGATGTTTCTCTCTCATCGATGTTTCTAGCTTTCTATCTCTCTCCCTTCCTCTCTGTAAAAAATCAATAAAATATATATTTTTAAAAATCAATAAAATATATAAAAATAAATAAGTAAATAGTGTCAAGCACATTTGCATCGTGATTTCTCTGTGTTTGTTAAGTCCCCATGTGGGGAAACTGAGGCCTGGGGAGAGCTGGGGCCTGGGATCACAGATAAAGTTGGTGCAGAATCCGGATTCTTGTGCCTGTGTGCCTGCGTGTGTACCAACCTTGCCTATGTCCACAGCTGCGTGACAGATGTGGACATAGGCAAGATGTAAGCATGTTGTTACTCCCCCACAAAATTCCTTCACATGCTTCCCAGTCAATGCTCACCCACAGCGGTGACCACCCGCTGACTTCTGACTCTATCGATTAGCTTGCTCCTCCTCCAATGTCACTTAAATACACGTACACCATTCAAACGTCTGCTGCGTATCTGTGAATGCAGCACGATTTCTTAGTCCTTCCTCCTCTTAGTAATCTTCAAACGACAGAAAATAAATATAATACCACTCACCTTTCAAAGCCTCCGGTTGCTTCCCAAGGTGTGTAGACATAGTGTCCCAGAAGGAAGGGCCGATGCTTTTTTCTTCCATTAGTATATTATTTTAAAATATACATATTTTATTGATTTTTTTACAGAGAAGAAGAGAGAGGGATAGAGAGCCAGAAACATCGATGGGAGGGAAACATCGATCAGCTGCCTCCTGTATACCTCCCCACTGGGAATATGCCCCCAACCAAGGTACACGACTTTGACCGGAATCGAACCTTCAATCCGCAGGTCAAATCTCTATCCACTGAACCAAATTGGTTTTGGGATATATCTTGATAATATCCCAGGACCTTTAAAATATGTATTTGAGTAACGAATGCCATAATTTATTAAAAGAATTCACTGAGCCTTAGCCAGTGTGGCTCAGTGGTTGAAGTCAGTTGACTGATGAGCCAGGAGGTCACAGTTTGATACCTGGTCAGGGCACATGCCCAGGTTGCAGGCTCAATCCCCAGTAGGGGGCGTGCAGGAGGCAGCTGATCAATGATTCTCTCTCATCATTGATGTTTCTATCTCTCCTTCTCCCTTCCTATCTGGAAACAATGAACATATATTTTTTAAAAAAGAACCCATTGAGCCTTAGCTAATTGCTCAGTGGTTAGAGTAAATCTCGGAAAGGTCGCAGATTCCATTCTAGTCAAGGGCATGCACCTCAGTTGCAGGCTTGATCCCAGTCCCTGGTCGGGGCATGTGTGGGAGGCAACCAATTAACGTGATTCTCTCACATCGACGTTTTTGTCTTTCTGTCTCCTCTTCCCTCCCACTCTCTCTCAAGGTCAAGGGAAAAATATCCTCGGGTGAAGATTAGCAATAAATAAATAAATAAATAAGTAAGTAAATAAAGAACCTATTGATAATTAATAGGAATTTTCTAGAAATTGGCTTTTTCCCCCCTCCATCTTTATGAAGATTCCAGGGAAACTATCATCGTCCCACTTTTCTCTTCCAGGTGATTTACCTGATCCGAAATCCCAGGGATATTCTCGTGTCTGGTTATTTTTTCTGGATTATTTCAAGGTTCGTGAAGAGACCAGAGTCGCTGGAACAATATTTCAAATGGTTCATCCAAGGACACGGTGAGTAAAAAAAATATGTGAAATATGCCGAAACCGGTGTGGCTCAGTGGACAGAGCGTTGGTCTGTGGACTGAAAGGTCCCGGGTTCGATTCCGGTCAAGAGCATGTGCCTTGGTTGTGGGCACATCCCCAGTAGGAGGTGTGCAGGAGGCAGCTGATCAATGATTCTCTCTCATCGATGTTTCTAACTCTCTATCCTTCTCTCTTCCTCTCTGTAAAAAAAAATAAATAAAATAGATATTTTTTAAAAATATGTAAAATATGGCAGCTGGGGGATCGTCCGAGTTCTTCGTCAGACCTCACGGCACAGCCCACCTGCTGCTCCACAGCTCACTCACCGGTGGGACTGGGCCCATCCCCATGGGAACCCAAGGCTTCTAACTCCACGGCTTCTCTCCAATCAGAACCCAGCCGGCCTTGCAGCTTACCCCTCCCCGCGTCCCAGCTGTCTGATACCAATACGGAGCCCTCAGCTTCTCCTCCTCTCTCTTCCCGTGTGTGGCTTTCTAAGAGTCAGCTTGTCATTGGCCTGAACAACACAAGCCTGACTTGCCACCATTTTAAAAATATATATTTTTTTTATTGATATTTTTACAGAGAGGAAGGGAGAGGGATAGAGAGTTAGAAACATCGATGAGAGAGAAACATCGACCGGCTGCCTCCTGCACACCCCCTCCTGGGGATGTGCCCACAACCAAGGTACAACATGCCCTTGACCGGAATCGAACCTGGGACCTTTCAGTCCGCAGGCAGATGCTCTATCCACTGAGCCAAACAGGTTTCGGCTTGCCGCCATTTTTCAGAGGCATCCTTATCCAATTCCCCTTATCCTCTTGTCCTATGGGGTCTCCAAAGTGTACCACGGTACGTGTCGCCCTCGGATCTCCATCTTTTTCATTGTGCAGAATCTCTAGGCTTTCTCAGATAAGTGAGATTTGACACTTCCCCTCCAAATCTGTGTGATGCGTCCCATAGTTCAGCAGTGACACGTCTCCTTGGCTTCAGACCCGTTTCTCTAAGCCTTCGGACATCTGCCTGGAGAACCACAGGTACCTCTGATTCATATGTTCAACACAGAACACATTGCCCCCAATGGCTCCCACTGCATTTGTACCTCATTAAATAGATAGAACCGCCGAAACCGGTTTGGCTCAGTGGAGAGAGCGTCGGCCTGCGGACTGAAGGGTCCCGGGTTCGATTCCGGTCAAGGGCATGTACCTGGGTTGTGGGCACATCCCCAGTAGGGGGTGTACAGGAGGCAGCTGATCAATGTTTCTCTGCCATCAATGTTTCTAATTCTCTATCCCTCTCTCTTCCTCCCTGTGGAAAATCAATAAAATATAAATAAATAAATAAATAAATAAATAAATAAATAAATAAATATATAAATAAAACCGCCTCACATCCAAGGGCATGAGTCTGACACCCACAAGTGTCATGTTTTTCCCCGCCTCACTTCCCCAGGCCCCTCACCTCTCTCCTTTACTCAAATCCCATCACCTTGAGTCAAGTCTTCATCCTGATCTCTGCTACAATGCCTCCATATTTAAAGAAATCTCTCTTTCAACACAATATAAAATAGCCCCCTCCCCATTTCTATACTACTATTCCCCCCCCCTTAGTACTCATCACCAATGAGTATGTATTCTTTTTTAAAAATATATATTTTATTGATTTTTTTACAGAGAGGAAAGGAGAGAGAGTTAGAAACATCGATGGGAGAGAAACATCGATCAGCTGCCTCTTGCACACCCCCTCCTGGGGATGTGCCCGCAACCCAGGTACATGCCCTTGACTGGAATTGAACCTGGGACTTTTCGGTCCACAGGACGACGCTCTATCCACTGAGCCAAACCGGTTTTGGCCAATGAGTATGTATTCTGACTGTTTGTTCGCCCCAAGTAAAATGTGAGCTCTTTGGGTTGTTCATTATTGACCTCAGGTCCTCCCGCGGTGCTTGCCACACAGTCAGCAGCTAACACACCTCCGCTGAATAATGAGTATTTATTTGCGATCCCTGTCACTATTACTCCCCACCTAGATTCATGGGACAGACGTGGTGGTGTCCTCGCCTGCATGCCCTTTGGTCCTTCTAGGCTGTGTGGCAATCCCCTATTACGTGTGGACAAGTACACATTCCCTGAAGTGTTTGCCCTCGCTCGGCATGAAGGTCAATCTTCAAAGTCCACAGTCGTATTTCTTGTCGAGCTGGTCCTGGCTGAGCTCCTCACCCCCATCTCCTGCTTTGCTTCAGGTTTACTCTTTCAGAAAAAAAGAAAAAGGAAAAAAAAAAAAGGCAACAGTGAAACCCAATGGTGCAAGGCAGAGAAAAGGGGCTTTGGAGACAGGTGCAGGGGGTTAGCCTGGGATGAGCCCATTGCTGCTCTGGTTGCAAGTCTCCTGGGGACCCTCGGAGCTTAAGAGATGCAGGCCTGTGGTGGGGAAGAGAAAGGGGGAGAAGGGAAGGGAAAGGTACAGGCATGCTTCTGAGAGGGAGAGTGAGTGAGCCTCAACTCTTTTTGGACACATTTTTAAAAAAATATATTTTATTGATTTTTTACAGAGAGGGAGAGAGAGGGATAGAGAGTCAGAAACATCGATGAGAGAGAATCATCGATCAGCTGCCTCTTGCACACCCCCTACTGAGGATGTGCCCACAACCCAGGTACATGCCCTTGACTGGAATCGAACCCGGGACCTTTCAGAACGCTTGATCCACTGAGCCAAACCGGTTTCGGCTTTTGGACACATTTCATTTCTTCTTAGATTATGACATCTTTATGTTACTTTAGGGGCCTGGTGCACGAAATTTGTGCACCGAGTGAGGGGGATGTCCCTCAGCCCAGCTAGAGCCCTCTCACAGTCTGGGAGCCCTTGGGGGATGTCTGACTGGCGGCTTAGGCCCGCGCATCCTGGCGCTGCCTCGGGAGAGGCTTCCGCCACTGCTGCTGTGCTCGCCAGCTGTGAGCCCAGCTTCTGGCTATGGGAGTGCACTGACCACTGAGGGAGGGGGGGGAGGGGCAGCTCCTGCACTGAGTGTGTGCCCCCTGGTGTTCAGTGCACATCATAGAGACTGGTCATTCTGTTGTTCAGTTGATTTGCATGTTACTCTTTTATTATATAAGATTTTCCAGTTATTTGTACCTGATTTGGGGGTGATGTAACTTATTTTAAATGTTGAACTGAATAAACTCTATTCTTCATTCTAACTTTGGTTCTCTAGGAAACATAATTATAACCTTCAAGTAATGACTATTATCTTCATTTCTAATACCTGTATATTGCTTTTATTTTTTCTGTCTTATCTTCTTGGCCAGGGCTCTGGGGCAATATTGAATCGCAGTGCATCCCATGGTGTATAATTCTTTCAATATACTCTTGTACTCAAGTTGATAATATATATTTTAAATTTCTTTATTGATTAAGGTATTACATATGTGTCCTTATCCCCTCATTACACCCCCTCAATATCCTCCAACTCATTCCCTCACACCTGTTGTCTGTGTCCATTGGTTAGGCATATATGCATGCATACAAGTCCTTTGGTTGATCTCTCCAAGTTGATAATATTTTATTAAAGATTTTAAAAAATGTTTTTATTATTGATTTTATAGAGAAGGAGGAAGGGAAAGGATAGAGAGAGGTAGAAAAACATCAATGTGAGAGGGTAACATTGGTCAGCTTCCTCTTGCATGTCCCTAACCAGTGATCAAGCCCACAACCTGGGGAACTGAACCAGCGACCTCTCGGTGTACGGGATGACACCCAACCAACTGAGCCACATTGACCAGCGCTATGCTCATTTTTGAGTGATAGATTAACTGAGTAGAATTCTCAGTTGACAATTCCCCAGTACACTTTGGGTCTAAGAAGGGTTTAGGCATGGTAGGCAGCCATTAAAAAGTATAAAATAGTTAAGATATAGAAGGCAGAGTGAGAAGATTTACCTCCTGAGAAGGTAACTGATAAAGGGAAAGGCAGTTTTCAAGGGGACTTGCCTGAGAATTTCCTGCATTGATGACATCTCAGATTGAAGAACCACACCAAGCTTGACAAAGAATTATGACGAAGAATTATAACAATGAAATCTTCACCTGGTCTCTAGGAAAGCTGCAGTGGGGCAAAAGGAAAGAAAATCTTAAACCCAAAAAAAGGCAGATAATTTTCAAAGGAACGGTAATTACAACAGCAAGAAGACAACCCAAAGTTTTCCATCGTGAGCAGATTTGGGGCAGCAAGAATACCATTCTTGTTAGGCACATGGCTCTGGCAAGATCTACTTAGAGACTCTTGAAAATGGGGCACAGCCTTGGCTGGTAACTCAGTTGGTTGGAGCATTCCTCCTGATACACCACAGTTGTGGGTTCAATCCCCAGACAGGGTACATACAAAAGGCAATGAATAAAAGCATAAATAAATGGTACAACAAATCTCTCTCTCTCTCACTCGCACACACACTCTCTCTCTCTACCTGTCTTTTCCCTCCCAAACCCACTGCCACTCTAAAAATAAATTCTCAGGTGGGGATTAGTGAAAAGAAGAAGAGAAGAAAACTCAGTACAGTCCCAGCCAGGTAGCTCAGTTGGCTGGAGCATTATCCTGATTCACAAAGCGGTGGTGGGTTCCATCCCTGGTCCAGGCACATACAAGTATCAACCAAGGAGGCCAGTGTGGCACCGTTGGTGGAGTGTTGTCTGTGCACCAAGAGGTTGCTGGTTCAATTCTAGGTCAAGGCACATGCACAGTTTCAGGCTTGATCCCCAGTAGGCGTTGTGCAGGAGGCAGCCAATCAATGTTCTCTCTTTCTCCCTCTCCCTCTAAAAAACAAACACACACACACACACACACACACACACACACACACACACACACACACACACATTAAGCCAGGACCGGTTTGGCTCAGTGGATAGAGCGTCGGCCTACGGACTGAAAAGTCCCGGGTTCGATTCCTTGTCAAGGGCATGTACCTTGGTTGCGGGCACATCCCCAGTGGGGGGTGTGCAAGAGGCAGCTGGTTGATGTTTCTCTCTCATCGACGTCTAACTCTCTGTCCCTCTCAATTCCTCTCTGTGTAAAATCAATAAAAATATATATATTTTTAAAAACACATTAAAAAAAAAAGAATCAACCAACGAGTACACGAATAAGTAGGACAACAGATCTCTCTCTCTCTCCCTCCTTTCCTCTGTCTCTCTAAAATCAATTCCAAAACCTTTTTAAAATAGGAAAACTGGGTACAGAGTCTACTCTAAATGAACTAGGCTCATACAAGGTAAATGCCTGGTGTTGGGTGATAATTTTCCATCTCCGCACTCATTCATTCAGCAAATAGGTACGTGCCACACATGGTGTAAGCAAGTGTGTCCACAAGACTGAGCGTAACTGCTGTCACAGTCGTAACCCCCGGCTCTCTCTGCCTCCCCCACTCAGTGGCATTTGGATCATGGTTTGATCACACCCGTGGCTGGATGTCCATGAGAGGGCAGGAGAACGTTTTGATAGTGAGTTACGAAGAGCTGAAACAGGTAACTATTGCTCCTGTGGTTAGCACACAGTCTCATCACCGTCCTCGCTCCCTCTAACATCCATCTACTCCTCTGTGCCTCTAGTCCACCTTCTCAGCCAAAGTAAAGCCTTGTGAAGGGTCCTTAGGAGTGAACGAAGCCCCCTCGTCTCCATTGTCCCACTTCTGGTTGGCACTTCCAGATACCATGCTCTACTTCTTCATGTGTTCTTCTTTGTTTCCTCTGATACCTTTTTATTTATTTATTAAATATATTTTGATTTTTTACAGAGAGGAAAGGAAAGAGATAGAGAGCTAGAAACATCGATGAGAGAGAAACATTGACCAGTTGCCTCTTGCACACCCCCTACCGGGGATGTGCCCGCAACCAAGGTACATGCCCTTGACCGGAATCGAACCCGGGACCTTTCAGTCCGCAGGCCGATGCTCTATCCACTGAGCCAAATCTGTTTCAGCTGATACCTTTTTATTTAATGTTTGTATTGATTTTAGAGAAAAAAGGAAGGGAGAGAAAGAGAGAGAAACATGGACTGGTTGCATACACCGCATACACCCCAACTGGGGACTGAACCCGCAACCCTGACATTTGCTCTTTCGTTTCACCTTCTTCCCTTTCTTCATCCTGATCACATTCAACTCAGCACTCTCATTTCTGCGCTGTTCCTTCTCTCCCTCTCCCTCCGCCTTCTGCTCCTCATCCTGCCATTCGTTCCCTCCTTCTCATCTCCCTGTCTGTGCCCTTTGTCTCTCATACCCACCCTTTTGCTCTTTCTTCTTCTTCTAGGACACAAGAAGTGCTGTTCTGAAGATCTGCCACTTCCTGGGCAAGACATTAGAGCCGGAAGAACTGAGCTCGCTCCTCACGCACAGCTCCTTCCAGGTCATGAAGGAAAACAAGATGTCTAACTACACACTCCTGCGCGGCTGGCTCATCGAGGATCAGAATGGGTCACTCATGAGAAAAGGTAAGAGAAAATGGTCCGGCTTCAGGAGGTCCCAGAACACGTAGAGGGCGTTCTTGTGCTTGCAGCAGGACACTAGCATTTGGGACTAGGGAGTGTTTGAACGTATCAAACTTTGGCTCTCATCGCCCAGAGAACGTCTGGCATGCTCTTACCAGGGAGTCTCTATTCAGAGTCCTGATGTGGGCTGCAGACACTTGGCCTTTCTGCTATGGTAGCTGCGATTTCCATGTCAAGGGGGCAGAGGAACAGGTCCAGAAGGAGGTGTATTGGGGTCTTGGGACCTACCGCTACATCTGACAGGAGTCTCTGTTTTACGTTTGCCAGGCATTTCTGGAGACTGGAAAAATCACTTCACAGTGGCCCAAGCAGAAGCCTTTGACAGAATATTCCGGGAGAAGATGGCGGACCTCCCTCCAGAGCTGTTCCCATGGGAATAATGCTCAAAGAGGTCTAGAGCTCACAGAGATAAATATTTGTTCTCCTGCCTGTGTACATGAGAAGGACTGGTGGCAACTGCATAAAACCTGTTACTTCATCCTGGAGCTTTGAATGATCACATTTCTGAACTTTGATGACGTCACTATTAAAAATTACTAAGGTAGTCCAGTCAGTGTGGCTCAGTGGTCCAGCATCAACCTATAACCCAGGAGGTCACCACTGATTCCTGGCCCCAGGGCACATGCCCAGGGTTTGGGCTCGATTCCCAGTAGGGGGCGTGCAGGAAGCAGCTGATCAATGATTCTCATCATTGATGTTTCTCTCGCTCCCTCTCTTTCTGCTCTGAAATCAATAAAATAAAAAATTGCCAGGGTAATTACCAGTATCTCTAATTCTCTGAACGGCATCCCAGCTTTTAAAAATATTTAATGCAGCTGAAACTGGTTTGGCTCAGTGGATAGAGCGTTGGACTGAAGGGTCCCGGGTTCAATTCTGGTCAAGGGCATGTACCTTGGTTTCGGGCACATCCCCAGTAGGGGGTGTGCAAGAGGCAGCTGATTTATAATTCTCTCTCATCGATGTTTCTTACTCTCTATCCCTCTCTCTTCCTCTGTAAAAAATCAATAAAATATATTTAATGCATAAAATATATATAATGCAATAAAATATATAGAATATATATTTTTATTACCCAAGTATTACCCAAAAGCTATGCCACATTTTTTTAAATAAAGATGAAAAATAAAATGACAGAAATTAGGCATCTTTCCAATTGGTTATTAACATCATGACCTTGCAGTATATAATTCCTAACCTCACATTATTCTCTTACTATGTGGTATTTGATCATAAGCAATATGTGGTACTTATGGAGGATTTTAAATCTTAAATAACTGGCCTACTGTTTATATGCATTCATCAACTAACATTTGTACTCAGTATCTTAGACGTGGTTTTCACCCAGGTTGCTTATATAATTGGTTTACTATTTAGTATGGAGACACGTTTTAGTGATCCCTTCTCCTGAGGGGGAATCTGGGTTCCTTCACTACCAAGTTTCCCTTATTTAAAACACTGCAGTGGCCTAGCTTTGGGCTCTATCCTGGAACATGCCCGACAATGAATGGGTAAAGGAAATGTGATCTCAACAGCAATGGAGAGTGATTGAGCCTTCGAGAAAGAAATTCTGCTAGTTGCGACAGCGTGAATGAACCTGGAGGCCACTACGCTGAGTGAAATAAGCCAGGCAGAAGGATGAATAGTGCACGGTTTCACTTAGGCAAGGAATCTGAAAGCCAAACTGGTGGAAAGAAATTAGCATGGTGGTTGCCCAGGGATAGGGGAGGGATAATGGGAGTTGCTGTTCAAAAGGTACAAATGAGCTGAAACCGGTTTGGCTCAGTGGATAGAGCTTCAGCTTGCAGACTGAAAGGTCCCAGGTTCGATTCAGGTCAAGGGCATGTACCTTGGTTGTGGGCACATCCCCAGTAGGGGGTGTGCAAGAAGCAGCTGATCAATGATTCTCTCTCGTCAATGTTTCTAACTCTCTATCCCTCTCTCTTCCTCTCTGTAAAAAAATCAATTATATATATATATATATATATATATATATATATATATATATATATAATTTTTTAAAGAAAGGTACAAACTTCCAGTCATACAAGATGAAAACTTGTAGAGATTGCTGCTGTAGAATTCTACCCACGCTGTACCCTTAGTTAAGGATACCGTGTTGTACATTTCCAATCTGTTAAGATGGTAGATTTCATGTTAAGCGTTCTGTGCTCACATAGTCTTTGATTGGGTGATGGCACCAAAATTTACTTGGTTCGTTACATGGTTTATGGGTATTTGGGGAGTTTCTAGTTTGGGCTCATAATCCGTAATGCACGTTAGGATGTGCCTTTTCGTATGTCTCTTGGTGAACATTGCTGTTGGGTAGGTGCCCAGGCGGGCTCATAAAGCCGTGTGTGCGTCAGGGTTTGTTCTGTGTTGCAAACCAAAGGGGTTGTTTCCATTTAGATTCCCACCTGCCACGGTTCCAAATGTTTGCCAACTGTTTGGGTTTTAGCTTTAAATGATACCGGTGGAAACAAATACTAGGATAATGTCACCTCCGCGTCTTTGCTCTGCTCTTCTCCCGCTTAAATGTGGAACAGCTCTCTCCCTTCTCACCCAAGGGCTCCAGCTCTGGAATAGTGGTGTGTTGGTGTCCCCTGCTGGCCGGAAGACATCACAACAGGTATATGGACACCCAGTCTCTCTCCCAGTCCTATGAATGAACCCCATCTTTGATCTGACCCAACTGTGTCTCTTGCAAGTTGTTTACTGTGATAACAATTTTAAAATGGCATTAGTTTAAGGTTAGTTCATGTTAGGCTTTTTATTTAGAGGAATTCAAGTATAGAGTCAAACAATAGTTTAAAAAAATTTTTTTACAAGCAAAATTATGGGCAGATATTGTATTCATTTACTATAAAAACAACGGTGACCATTTAAAAATATTTATTTTGCCCTAACTGGTTTGGCTCAGTGGATAGAGCGTCGGCCTGCGAACTGAAGGGTCCCGGGTTCGATCCTGGGCAAGGGCATATACCTTGGTTGTGGGCACATCCCCAGTGGGAGGTGTGCAGGAGGCAGCTGATCGATGTTTCTCTCTCATTGATGCTTCTATCTATTCTTCTCCCTTCCTCTCTTTAAAAGAACCAATAAAATATATTTTTAAAATATTTATTTTTATAGCACCTGATTTTTTAAAATATATTTTATTGATTTTTTTATAGAGAGGAGGAGAGAGGGATAGAGAGCTAGTAACGTCGATGAGAGAGAAACATCAACCAGCTGCCTCTTGCACACCCCCTACCGGGGATGTGCCCGCAACCAAGGTACATGCCCCTGACCGGAATCGAACCTGGGACCTTTCAGTCCGTAGACCGACGCTCTATCCACTGAGCCAAACCGGTCTCGGCTGATTTTTTTTTTTTTTTAGGTGGATTAAGATACAGTGAGTTTGAATTTTCTTTTCACGAAATAAAGTCTATGCCTGGTCTCAATAGTGACAGCAACATATTATCTGAGTCCACCTACTCCTCAGCAGAAATTTGATCGAGATTTACACCTTAGAATCCCTAGGGAGCTTTTCGTTGTTGATACCTATCACCTGAGGATAGTTTTTCCATTGATTTTTAGAGAGTGTAAGGAATTGAGGGGCAAAGAGAGAGAAACATCTATGTGCGGGACACATTGATTGGTTGCCTCCCACAAACACCCCAACTGGGGCAGGGGGTTGAACCTGCAACCCAGGTACATGACCTTGACTGGGAATCCAACCTGCGTCCCTTCAGTGCTTGGGACAATGCTCTAACCATTAATCCACACCAGCCAGGGTCCCTTAGGAGCTTTAAATACACTAGTGCCCAAATCCCACACCCAAAGACACTGCTTGTCTAGCCTGGTGCATAAGAATGTTAAAACTCCAGGTGATCGCCCCAGCTTAGCTCAGTGGATAGAGCATTGGCCTGTGGACCGAAGGGTCCTGGGTTCAATTCTGATCAATGGCACACCCCCAGGTTGTGGACTTGATCTCCAGTAGGGAGCGTGCAGGGGACAGCAGGTCAATGATTCTCTCTCATCATTAATGTTTCTATCTCTCTCCCCCTCCCTTCTTCTCCGAAATTAAAAAAAAAAAAATCCTATATAATGAAAGGCTAATATGCAAATAAACCAAAGGGCAGAACAATGGGAACAACTGAACAACCAGTTGCTATGATGGGCACTGACCACCAGGGGGCATGTGCAGAACATGGCAGGTGTCAGCCATGGTGGGGTGATGGAGCAGGTGAGCGGGGGCACCAGACCAAGGGGGGGGGGTGCTAGTCACTGCCATCGGGGCGAGCCTCTGGTGGTTACTGAAAATTCTTTGCTTCCATGCACCCCAGTCCTGCCTAGCACTTGCACCTGCTGCTGGCATTGTCCCACTCACATCTGCTGCCAGTGCTGGAGCTGCTGCTTGCACCCACTGCCGGTGTCTAGAGCTGGTCCCAATCACTCGGCATCATCAGCAGGTGTGAGCAATGCCTGCTGACCCTGATTCCCCTTGAGGGCTTCTCACCTCCTCCTGCTCCTGAGTGGAAATCAGGGCTGCAGCTGCCGCTTGCACCTGCTGACAGTGCCAGCTCCAATCACTTCATCCCATTAGTAGGTGCAAGCAGGGTTGCTGCCATCAGCACGTGGGAGCAGGGCTGCCAGCAGACAGGGGACTGGGGCCACATTGGGAGGGGCCAGGCGGGAGCACAGAGGATGGGCCAAGACCGGCCCTTGTGCCCACAGCAGCCTCGCGGCCCACAGTTCCTTTCAAGGTGCACGAATGCATGCACTGGGCCCCTGGTTATATTATAAAAACAAAACGGAACTCCAGGTGACAAAGTTTGAGAACCATGGGACCTGGGATGAAGCAGGTGGCTACACCGAGAGGTCCCCTGCAGGGCGTACCCTGTAGGGAGCTGACATGCCCCGGCAGACCTGGAGTCTGGGGGAGCCAGGGCACATGTCTGGGTGCAGGGAGGGCTCCTGTGAGCAGACTCCCGGTGAGGCACATGCCCCACCTTCCCTCTTGCCAGGCCGAGGAACCGGCACCCCTGGGTCGCAGGTGGTGAATCTGTCCAACCTGAGCAGTGCTCCATCCTCCGTGCCTCTCAGACTCCCTTGGTTGCTTCTTACTTGTTCCCTTTTCTCCAGTTCCCATCCTTCCATCTTAGAAACAGAGGCCCATAAAAACTAAAACAAGCTGAAACCCGTTTGGCTCAGTGGATAGAGCATCGGCCTACAGACTGAAAGGTCCCGGGTTCGATTCCGGTCAAGGGCATGTACCTTGGTTGTGGGCACATCCCCAGTAGGGGGTGTGCAAGAGGCAGCTGATCGATGTTTCTCTCTCATCGATGTTTCTAACTCTCCATCCCTCTCTCTTCCTCTCTGATAAAAATTAATAAAATACAAT